CGTTGTCTCCGTCGTCGTCGTCGGCGTCGTTCAGCGTCGTCGTCGTCGTTGTCATCGTCGTCGTCGTCGGCGTCGTCGTCGTCGTCGGTGTCGCCGCCGTCGTGGTCGCTGTCGTCGTCGAAGTCGTTGGAGACGTCGTCGGTGTCGTCGTCGTCGATGTTGGCGGCGCCGTCGTCGTCGTTGTCGCTGTCGTCGTCGTCGTCGGTGTCGTGACCAAGTGCCATCTGGTACCAACCGTCACGGTCTTGTCTTAAGAGGTCTTGCGACCAAGTTGTGGGTAGGAGGGTGGGATGTTTGCACGAGCAAAGGAGAGGACAGCTTCAAGACGGTCAAAGTGAATTCTCCTTTCCAAAAACAGAATAGGATCTACCCCCCCCGGAGTTACCACTCCCCCTTTCGGGTTTGTAAATCATACATGATTCTGACCACATGTCCATCCCAAATCTGAATTTACACTATCCCCGGGTGGCCGGGCTCCCCCCCCTGAGGTTCCTTTTTTTTATAAAAAAACACTATGCGGTGACATTCTTTTGTTCTAACATAACACTTTCCACGAATCCTTTGAACACATTTTACGAAATGCATGCGCTCGCGTCGTCGCGCGCGCATGCCGAAATCCTTCAGAAACCTTCGGTGCCGGAAAGATTTCGCAATCGAATTTCCAAAACACATGCAAAAGCAAAGGCTTTCGCAACACGGATTTGCTAAAAAAACATCCGCGCGAGCTCTTGCGATTTTTTTTTTTTTTTTTTTTTTTTTTTTTTTTTTTTTTTTTTTTTTTTTTTTTTTTTTTTTTTTTTTTTTAAAAAAAAAAAAAAAAAAAAAAAGGTTTTTCAATATTTTCACAAAATGCTACCAAACGGGCTTCGCGCGCGCATGTCAAAATCTGTCGAACGCCCTTGCGCGTGTGCCGTCGCGAGAACCCCATGCAAAAAAAAACGAAGTGCAGACGCGCGCGTCGTCGCGCGCGTATGCCGAAATCCTTCAAAAACCTTCGGTTCTGGAAGGATTTCAAAATAGTGCGCCCAAAAAACCTACAAAAAAAACCAAAAAGGTTTCGCAACACGGATTTTCAACAAAAGCGTGCGCGCGCGCTCTTGCGGCGTCGTCGTCGTCGTCGTCGTCGTCGCCGTCCTCCCTCCTCCCGCGTCGTCGTCGTCGTCGTCGCCTACGTCGTCCTCTGTCTTTCCTCGTGTTCGTCGTCGTCGTCCTCTTTGGCGTCGTGGTCGTTTCCGTCGTCGTTGTCGCCGTGGTCGTCCTTCCTCCTCCTCCCTCGTCGTCGTCGTCGTCCGTCGTCGGCGTCTCGTCGTCGTCCCTCCTATTTCGTCGCCGTCGTCGTCGTCTGTCGTTTCGTCGTCGTCTTCCCTCCTCCCTCGTCGTTGTCGTCGTCGGCGTCGCCGTCCTTCTTCCTTCTTCGTCGTTTGCGTCGTCGCCGTTTTCCCTCCTCCCTCGTCGTTGTCGTCGTTGTCGTCGTTGTCGTCGTTGTCGCCGTAGTCGTCCTCCCTCCTTTCTCGTCGTCGTCTTCGTTGGCGACGTCGTCGTCGCCTTCGTCGTTGTCGTCGGCGTCGGCGTCGTCGTTTTCGTCGTCGCCGGCGTCGGCGTCGTCTTGTGCCACTTGGTACCCACCGTCACGGTCTTAAGATGTATTGCGACCAAGTTGCGGGTGGGAGGGTGGGATGGTCGCACGAGCAGTGGAGAGGACAGCTTCAAGTTTAGCATGTGATAACTTTTCCTTTCTCAAAAAAATATACTCTCCCCCCCCGGACTTAACGCTTCCCCCTGGGATAATATAACTCCATATATATATATATATATATTCTGCACACTCGTCCATCCTAAATATGAAAGCATACCATCCCAGGCAGGCCCCCCCCTGAGGTTCCCTTTGTGAAAAACACTATGCGGTGACATTTTTTGTTCTAACACAACACTTTTTCACGAACCCCTTGCAAAAAATTGGACGAAGTGCACGCGCGCGCGCGTCGTCGCGCGCGCATGCCGAAATCCTTCAGAAACCTTCGGTGCCGGACGGATTTCGCAATCGAGTTTCCAAAAAACCTACAAAAACACAAAATTTCGCAACACTGATTTGCTAAAAAACTTCCGCGCGAGCTCTTGCGAAATCTGAAAAAAAAAAAAAAAACAATAGGTTTTTCAAGATTTTCACAAAATGCTACCAAACGGGCTTCGCGCGCGCGCACTTGCGCGTGTGCCGTCGCGAGAATCCCCTGCAAAAAATGAAAACGAAATGCAGACGCGCGCATCGTCGCGTGCGTATGCCGAAAACCTTCAAAACCCATCGGTTTCGGAAGGATTTCAAAATAGTGCGTCCAGAAAACCTACAAAAACCCAAGGTTTCGCAACACGGATTTTCAACAAAAGCGTGCGCGCGCGCTCTTGCGTCGTCGTCGTCGTCGTCGTCGTCGCCGTCCTCCCTCCTCCCGCGTCGTCGTCGTCGTCGTCGCCTACGTCGTCCTCTGTCTTTCTCGTGTTCGTCGTCGTCGTCCTCTTTGGCGTCGTGGTCGTTTCCGTCGTCGTTGTCGCCGTGGTCGTCCTTCCTCCTCCTCCCACGTCGTCGTCGTCGTCCGTCGTCGGCGTCTCGTCGTCGTCCCTCCTATTTCGTCGCCGTCGTCGTCGTTGTCGTCGTCGTCTTCCCTCCTCCCTCGTCGTTGTCGTTGTCGGCGTCGCCGTCCTTCCCCCTTCTTCGTCGTTTGCGTCGTCGTCCGTCGTCGGCGTCTCGTCGTCGTCCCTCCTATTTCGTCGCCGTCGTCGTCGTCGTCGTCGTTGTTGTCGTCGTCGTCTTCCCTCCTCCCTCGTCGTTGTCGTCGGCGTCGCCGTCCTTCCCCCTTCTTCGTCGTTTGCGTCGTCGCCGTCCTCCCTTCTCCCTCGTCGTTGTCGTCGTTGTCGTCGTTGTCGCCGTCGTCGCCCTTCCTCCTCCTTCGTCGTCGCCTTCGTTGGCGTCGTCGTCGTCTTCGTCGTCGTCGTCGTCGGTGTCGTCGTCGAAGTCGTCGGAGACGTCGTCGGCGTCGTCCTAGTCGTTGTCGTCGTAGTCGGTCTTAACAGGTTTTGCAAACCATGTTGCGGGTGGGTGGGTGGGATGTTTGCGCGAGCAGTGGAGAGGACAGCTTCAAGTCAGCCAAAGTGGATTGCACCACGTAGGTTCTCCTTTCTAAAAACAAAATAGACTCTACCCCCGCCCCCTCCCCGGCGTTATCACCCCCCCCGTCTTATGTAAATCACATACGATTCTGACCACATGTCCATCCTAAACTTGAAATCACAATGTCCCAGGCCAACCAGGCTCCCCCCCTGAGGTTCCCTGGTCAAAAAAAACACTATGCGGTAACATTTCTTGTTCTAACATAACACGGTGTCACGAATCCCTTGTAAAACATGCGACGAAATGCACGCGCGCGTCGTCGCGCGCGCATGCAGGAATCCTTCAGAAATGTCGCAATCGAGTTTCCAAAAGACATACAAAAACACATGGTTTCGCAACGCTGAATTGCTAACAAAAACTTCCGCGCGAGCTCTTGCGAAATCTGAAGAAAAACATGGGTTCTTCAAGATTTCCACAAACTGCTACCAAACGGGTTTCGCGCGCGCGCATTTCGAAATCTGTCGAACGCCCTTGCGCGTGTGCCGTCGCGAAAACGCGAAGAGCAAACGCGCGCGTCGTCGCGGGCGTATGCCGAAAAACCTACAAAAACACAAGGTTTCGCAACACGGATTTTCAACAAAAGCGTGCGCGCGCGCTTCTGTGTCGTCGTCGTCGTCGACGTCCTCCCTCCTCCCGCGTCGTCGTCGTCGCCTACGTCGTCCTCTGTCTTTCCTCGTGTTCGTCGTCGTCGTCCTCTTTGGCGTCGTGGTCGTTTCCGTCGTCGTTGTCGCCGTGGTCGTCCTTCCTCCTCCTCCCTCGTCGTCGTCGTCGTCCGTCGTCGGCGTCTCGTCGTCGTCCCTCCTATTTCGTCGCCGTCGTCGTCGTCGTCGTCGTTGTTGTCGTCGTCGTCTTCCCTCCTCCCTCGTCGTTGTCGTCGGCGTCGCCGTCCTTCCTCCTTCTTCGTCGTTTGCGTCGTCGCCGTCCTCCCTCCTCCCTCGTCGTTGTCGTCGTTGTCGTCGTTGTCGTCGTTGTCGCCGACGTCGTCCTCCCTCCTCCCTCGTCGTCGTCTTCGTTGGCGACGTCGTCGTCGTTTTCGTCGTCGTCGTCGGCGTCGGCGTCGTCGTCGTCGTCGGTGTTGTCGTTGTCGCCGCCGTCGTCGTCATCGTCGGCGTCGTTGACGTCGCCGTCGTCGGTGTCGTCGTTGTCGTCGTCGTCGTCGGTGTCGTCGTCGTCGTTGTCGGCGTCGTCGAAGTCGTTGGAGACGTCGTCGGTGTCGTCGTAGTCGGTGTCGGCGGCGTCGTCGTCGTCGTTGTCGCTGTCGCCGTCGCTGTCGTTGCCAAGTGCCATTTGGTACCCACCGTCACGGTCTTAAGAGATTTTGCAAGCCAAGTTGCGGGTGGGTGGGTGGGATGTTTGCGCGAGCAGTGGAGTGGACAACTCACTGCGAACAGAAATTAACTGCACCACATAGATTGCACTGCGTAGGTTGCATTACGTGGGCTGCCGCGTGCGCGTAAATTGCACAACGCCGTCGTCGTCGTCGTCGGCGCCGTCGTCGTCGTCGGCGGCGTCGTCGTCGTCGGCGTTGTCAACGTCGTTGTCGTCAGCGTCGGCGTCGTCGTCGTCGTCGGTGTTGTCGTCGTCGTCGTTGTCGTCGTCGTCGAAGTCGTTGGAGACGTCGCCGGTGTCGTCGTAGTCGTTGTCGGCGGCGTCGTCGTCGTCGTCGTCGGTGTCCACTGTCGTCGTCGGCGTCGGTGCCGTTGCCAAGTGCCATTTGGTACCCACCGTCACGGTCTTAAGAGGTCTTGCGACCAAGTTGCGGGTGGAAGGGTGAGGAGGAAGGACGGTCAGGGCGGCAAGACCGTTCGGGGCCCCACGAGCAAGCGCCCCCCCACGAGACCTGGCGACCCTGCTCCTCACCTCGCCGCTCAGCCGCGCCTCCGCGGCGGCGCTGCGCACGCCGCCGCGCACGAGGTCCTGAGGGGGGGGTCGGCGTCGTCGTCATCGCCTCGGATGTCTCGGGTCGCGTTCTAATGTCCCTCCTCCTCCTCCCTCCTCCTTCCTCCCTCCTCCCTCCCCCCTCTCCACCTCTGTCTCCCCCTCCTCCCCCCGCCCTCCTCCCTCTCCCCTCCCCCCCCCTCCCTCCCCCTCTGCCCCCCCTCGTCGCTGCGGCCAGGCGCAGCTGGCCTCGGAGGTCTCGGGCCGGATGTCGCCAGAAATGCCCCTGGGCCAAGTGAAGGGGCCCCAGGACACACAACCTCTCCTGTGACCAAGGCGCCCCCCGGGAGTTCCCTGGAGGCCGTGCGCGGCCTCCAGGGCACCCCTGCCCCCACGGGGGCCCCCAAGGCCAGCGAGAAGCTGGGAGCGCCTCGGGCCGGGGGGGGCACCCTTCGCAGCCCCCCCGGCCGCGGCGCGCCCGCAAGGGGCCCCTCGTCGCCGCGGCTATGGGCGCAGCTCGCCGAGGCCGCCGACGCGGCGACGACGACGACGACGACGGCGGCGACGTGATGACGCTGCCGTCGCTTGGGAGGCCTCTGGGCGCCGAGGAGGCGTCCTCGTTCCCTCTGCTCCTCCCTCCACCTCCAGTGGAGGGAGGTGGAGGGAGGAGGCAGAATGGACGACGAGGGAGGAGGAGGAGGAGAAGGAAGAGGAGGAGGAGGAGGAGGAGGAGGAGGAGGAGGAGGAGGAGGAGGAGGAGAAGGTCTTGGGTGGACGCAGCTCGCCAAGGATGCCGGCGACGACGACGACGGCGGCGACGCCGACGACGGCGCGGCTCGACAAGCCGCCCAGGACGGACGAAGGGAGCGAGAGAATGCCGACACGACGGCGAAGTCGTCGTCGTCATCGTCGTCATCGTCGTCCTCGACACGACGGCGAGGTCGTCGTCGTCGTCCTCGACACGACGGCGAGGTCGTCGTCGTCGTCGTCATCGTCATTGTCGCTTCCGGGGATCTCCGTGCGCGTCGCGAGGGCCCCGTCGCCGCGGCGGGACGCGTCTGGACACTTAGGTCTCGAAGGAGAAACCGACGCCAGAAGCATCAAGTGTCGGCGCTCCGCGAAGCGCCAGAAACATTAGTCCAGATTTCGTAATAAAAGGGAGGGGGTCTCAACCCTCCCAGACGAGAAGTTTTAGACCCCCCCCGTGGGAGAACCCTCCAAAACATCGTCCCCAGACCCCCCCAGGCCCTCCAAGATAGCCTGGAAGAGACCCCCCCGAAATGAGACCTCCTCCCTTTTATTACGAAATCTGGAGTAATTGTTGGCGCTCCGCGCGGATTTCTTGGATCCGCGCTGGGCCCCCCCCCCCCCGGCGGCGCCTCCGGCGCCGCCCCTGGCGCGCTCTGCGCACCAGGGAGGGGGGTTCTGGCGCAGATCCAAGAAATCCGCGCGGAGCGCAGAAGGTGCATGTTTATGCCGTTTGTTCTCCTCCCATGGTCTGCCTTAATGGAACCCTGGAGGGGTCCAGGGATGCGCGAGCAAAGAGATGCCTACGCAATGACGTCGAAGCCGTCGCATCGGAGGCATCTGTGCGCTTCTGGAGGTTCTCCTCGCCACGGCTGGACGCAGCTCGCAAACTGGGACGGATGGTCCAGGGGCGGGGGGCAAGAACAAGCCGACGCAACCACGTAGCCGTATGTGGGCACTTCTGGAGGTTCTCGTCGAGCGGCTGGACGCAGCTCGAAAGACTAAGCGGAATGAAGCCCAGGAGGGGTCCAGGATGGTCCAGGGATGGGATGGGGGAGCAAGATAGACGCCCTCGGTTCGGAGGTTCTAGGGATGTTCTGGACGCTTTCATCGCCGCGGCAGATCGCAGCTCGCAGACCAAGCCAGGATTGGCCCCGAGAAGGGCCCAGGGACGCGGCGACTAACATATTCCTCTGCGACGTCGGCGCCATCGCTTCGGATGTCTTTGGGCGAATCATCACCCCCCCACTTCTCCCCCCGAGAGGCATCAGATGGAAACGTCTGCCATAACTCAGCCGGCGGTACAGACAGATTGCCCCGACTATTGCAGGGGATCGAGTACACCTGGCGACATGTCGCGCAGAGTTTCTGACAGCGGCTAGCTATGTGATTTGCTCCCACTTCGTAATTCAATATTGAAGGGGCCCTGAGACACACAAATAATGATACCAGAGAAAAACCCCAATCAGAATTTGGGGGGGCTATGGGGCTTTAGGGCTTTAGGGCTATGGGGCTATAGGGCTATAGGGCGATGTGGCCATAGGGATATAGGGCTAGAAGCCTTTAGGGCTATGGGGCTATAGGGCTACAGGGCTATAGGGCTAAGGGCTATAAGGCTATTCGGGCTATAGGGCTATATACGGCTATATACGGCTACAGGGCTTTAGGACCATAGGGCTATAGGGCTATAGGGCTATAGGGCTATAGGGCTATAGGGCTATGGGGCTATGGGGCTATGGGGCTATTGGGCTATTGGGCTATAGGGCTATCGGAGGTGAGGGGGTGAGATCGAAGTGGAACGGCGAGCCCCCCACCGGGAAATCGGTTTCGGTTTCGTGTTCGTGCGTGCCGTGCGTGCGAGGCGAAGCTGCGTGGGCGGGCGAGAAAAAGTCTCCTGTGGCTGAGGCGCGGCCGGACCAAATGTTTCTCTTCCGGGGCGCGGGGCCCCGCGGTGTCCCGCTGGTGTCCCGCGGTGTCCTCCTGTGGCTGAGGCGCGGCCGGACCAAATGTTTCTCATCCGGGGCGCGGGGCCCCACGGTGTCCCGCCGGTGTCCCGCGGTGTCCCGCGGTGTCCCGCGGTGTCCCGCGGTGTCCCGCGGTGTCCCGCCGGTGTCCCGCGGTGTCCCGCGAGGATGATGATGATGAGATGAGATGATGATGATGATGATGATGATGATGATGATGATGATGATGATGATGATGATGATAATGATGATGATGATGATGAGATGATGATGATGATGGCGTCCCGATGAAGATGATGATGATGTTGATGATGGTGTCGATGATGATAGTGTCCCGATGATGAGGATGATGATGCTCATGATGAGTATGTTGATGATGGTGACGATGATGTGATGATGATGATGATGATGATTCCGATGATGTTGGTGATGATGATGTTGATGGAAATGGTGTCCCGGCGATAATGATGTTGATGATGTTGATGATGCTTATGGTGTCCCGATGATGATGCTGCTGATGATGATGATGGTGATGATGATGATGATGGTGATGCTGATGGTGTCCCGATGATGATAGTAATGATAATGACGATGCTGATGATGATGTTGCTCATGATGATGGTGCCCCAATGATGATGATGATGTTGATGATGATGATGATGCCGATGATGATGATGCGATGACCATGGTTATGATGGTGCCCCGAAGATGATGACGATGTTGATGATACTGTTGATGATGAGAACGATGGTGATCATGATGGTGTCCCGATTATGATGATGATTCTGATGATGCTGCTGATGCTGATGACGATGACTGTGTCCCGATGATGATGATGTTGATGATGAGATGATGATGCTGGTGATGATGATGTCCCGATGATGATGCTGGCGTTGCTGATGATGTTTATGATGATGCTGATGATGATGATGATGACGGTGCCCTCATGATGATGACGATTTTGGTGATGATGTTGATGTTGATGATGTTGGTGATGATGGTGATGATGATGATGATGAAGATGACGTTGATTGTGAGAGCGATTGTGATATCGATAGTGAGATCGATATTGAGACCGAATGTGAGATCGATTGTGTGATCGATTGTGAGATCGATTATCAGATCAATTGTGAGATCGATCGAATGAGATATATCGAGAGAGATCGATTGTGAGATCGATCGAGTGAGATCGATCGAGCGAGACCGATAGTGAGATCGATACTGAGATCGATAGTGAGACCGATCGAGTGAGACGTTGGTTCCCCCCCCCCCCGAACCTCGGATATATGGCGATTGGGCTATTGGTCTATAGGGATATAGGGCTATTGGGCTAGCCACCCCTGGGCACTTCTGGGCACCCCGGGCACCCCTGGGCACCCGGGCACCCCTGCAGGGGGGGCACCCGGGCACCCGGCCCCGGCCACCGAAATCGGCCACACAACTGGGCACCCGGGCACCCCCGGGAACGCCCGGGCACCCGGGCACCCGGCCCTGGCCACCGAAATCGGCCGCCAACCTCACCTCAGCTTTATATCCGCTAGGACCCCTACAGAGGCAAGCTCTGATTGGGGAAATACACAAATAAAGGGGTACCCCATATTTTCCCATATGTTCTGTGTTTCTGTCTTCCCCCCAACTTCCCATATTTTCGCATATTTTCTGGGGAATCGAAGATTAATTGTGTCTGTGTGTTTCTTTTCCTCTTGAAATATCTCCCTTCCTCTCTCTGCCGTTACCCCGGCGCCGGCGGGTGAGCAGCGCAGAGACGCGACATCTCCCATCTCGAGCTGCTGCTTCGGAGTCACCCGCTCCAGCCGACCGTGGGCAGCCACGGGAGGGGAGCAGAGAGGGAGAGAGGACATCCATAGCTTCTTTACCGGCTCCCGATCTTCTGGCTGGACGCCGCTCGGAAGCCTTGCCAGCACGGACTGCTCAGCGCCCCTCAATTGGGGACTCCACTAACGGGTACTTTGGCCAGTGACCCAGCGAACCCAACCCTTCCCGATGTGGGCAAAGCTGCAATGCAAGAAAAAGGCCCTAAAATGGCAACTTTCAGCAAAAATTCAAAGTACCCGTTAGTAAGTACCCGTTACGGTGCCGTTGAACTGCGAGAGGGGCCCGGGGACCGGTGGCGCGCGGACTCGGGCTCTCCCCGGACTCGGACCGGATGCGCGCGGCCAGGATCCCGAGGCGAGTCCACAGTCGAGGCGACGAGGGCTCCCTGGGAGGCACTCGGACAGCTGAGGATGTTCAAGCTCTCGATGCCTGAGCATTTTCTCAGGGTGGAGGGCTCAGGGTGGAATCCAAATGGGCTTTTGCACCACGAAAATGAATTCGTCTTGTGACTCACCTTTTGCAAGTTCAAGCCTCGAAAATCCATCGAAACGGCACTTCGGATTTCACCCTTTGCCCTCCACCCAAAGAGAATGCTCGGGATGCTAGAACCCCGATCGCCCTCCCACTCCGCCCGGATCCCGGAATCCGCTCAGCATCAGTTCTCGGACCCCTCCAGGGTCCATCCTGACAAGGTGCTCACCAGCGTGCACGGGCTCACAGCAACGCAAGAAAGCGGGACCACTCTGCATCACTGACTCGCTCACCCTCCCTCCACCTCCCTCACTCTTACGCTAAGACTCAATCATACTCAGACCCTCTACACCCACACCCAGACCCACTCACATGGTAACCCGCTCGCGCACAAGGTCATTTACACTCTGGCTCGCAGTCTTGGGGGATCACGATGTAGAAGGAATGGTACTTGGGCCTTCCAAGGGGGAACAGACCAGGGGGTGTTACAAGCGAGTGCACGCCCAGATCGTCGAGAAATCCCAAGTTGAACGACCGCATGGGGGGGTGGGCGTGCCAGTTTTCCAGCCCCATGATCACCGCACTGTGGCAGGAATGGCGCATGGGCCTCCCGATGGAGAGCCGGCCAGGGGGCCATCACGTGCGCTCTCGAGCCCAGCTTGTCAGGACCCCTCTGCTAGAGTGACGGTGTTCGTTCGGGGCAGCACACGTGTGCCGCTTCATAGCCCAATGACGACTGCGATGTCGCGGAAATGGTATTTGTGTACAGTCGGGCCGCTGGAAGAAGGAACGCCAAATGAGGAAGGAAGCCCCGTCTTGGCCCTGTGAGCGCCTCCGTGCCCCAGGAGGGCAAGAGGAACAGCACTCTGGAGGAACCTGGGGGAGCATCGAGCCCCTTCAAG